CCCCAAATCCGGGTTTCCCTCCCCAAATCCGGGTTTTGGGACCCCAAATCCGGGTTTCCCTCCCCGAATTCCCGTTTCCTGACCCTCTTCCCGCCCCCCTTCCCAGGGAACATCAACATCTGCCTGATGGGAGACCCCGGCGTGGCCAAATCCCAACTGCTCTGTTACATCGACCGCCTGGCGCCGCGCAGTGAGTCACCTTCATCATCCTCATCTTCCTCTTCTTCATCTTCATCATCCTCTTCTTCATCTTCATCTTCATCCTCACCTTCATCTTCATCTTCATCCCCTTCTTCATCCTCCTCCCCGTCCCCTTCCTGTGCTACATCGACCGCCTGGCGCCGCGCAGTGAGTGACCTTCATCATCATCTTCTTCATCATCATCCTCTTCTTCATCATCCTCATCTTCCTCTTCTTCATCCTCATCCTCTTCTTCATTCTCTTCTTCATCCTCCTCCTCCTCCCCGTCCCCTTCCTGTGCTACATCGACCGCCTGGCGCCCAGGAGTGAGTGACCTTCATCCTCATCTTCATCATCATCTTCATCCTCTTTATCATCATCTTCATCCTCATCCTCTTCTTCATCCTCATCTTCGTCCTCTTCTTCCTCCCCACCCAACCCCTGTTGGGTTGATGCTCCTGGGTCTTGGTGACCCCCTTTGAGGGGTGGCCTGGGGGTCGCTCCAGGAGCTCTGAGGTCACTCCAGGAGCCTTCTTCCTTCTCTCCTCCTCTTCCTCACCCTCCCCTCCTCTTCCTCACCCCTTCTCTTCCTCCTCTTCCTCCCCCCTTTCCTTCCTCCCCACCCAACCCCTGTTGGGTTGATGCTCCTGGGTCTTGGTGACCCCCTTTGAGGGGATGACCTGGGGGTCCCTCCAGGAGCTCTGAGGTCACTCCAGGAGCTCTGAGGGTCCTCCAGGAGCCTTCTTCCTTCTCTCCTCCTCTTCCTCACCCTCCCCTCCTCTTCCTCACCCCTTCTCTTCCTCACCTTCTCCTCCTCTTCCTCCCCCATTTCCTTCCTCCCCACCCAACCCCTGTTGGGTTGATGCTCCTGGGTCTTGGTGACCCCCTTTGAGAGGTGACCTGGGGGTCGCTCCAGGACTCTCTGGGGTTGCTCCCTCCCCTTCCTGACCCCTTTTCCCCCCTCTGCTCCCCCAGGCCAGTACACGACGGGCCGTGGCTCGTCGGGGGTGGGTCTGACGGCGGCGGTGCTGCGGGACCCCCGGAGCGGGGAGCTGGTGCTGGAGGGGGGGGCCCTGGTCCTGGGGGGGGCCTTCCTCACCCCCTGCTGCTCCTCCTCAGCCTCCTCCTTCCTCCTCAGCCTCCTCTTCCTCCTCTTCCTCCTCTTCCTCACCCCTTTCCTTCCTCCCCACCCAACCCCTGTTGGGTTGATGCTCCTGGGTCTTGGTGACCCCCTTTGAGAGGTGACCTGGGGGTCGCTCCAGGACTCTCTGGGGTTGCTCCCCCCCCTTCCTGACCCCCTTTCCCCCCTCTCCCTGCCCAGGCCAGTAAACGACGGGCCGTGGCTCGTCGGGGGTGGGTCTGACGGCGGCGGTGCT